GATGAGGACTCTGATGACGAAGGCCAAGACGAGGAGACAATCAAGGTAGAACCACAAGAACCAGCGGATTCTCAGGAGGAGCAAAAGCCCCTCGAACCAGAGTACAACGACCACCAAACCGACCTCCTCGAGAAGTCATTAAAACTATGGACCAAATATCCCGACCCATTGTCGAGCATCCTCGGCCCGGCAAACACCAGCCCTCCCGCAAATGGCATCACCCCCGAGTCCTCGCTCCCACCAAGCCTCATCACAACCATCATTCGCGTTCCCAAGAATCCCAAAGTCTTGAAGGGCGGCTATTTACTGGTCCCCAACAACGATTCCACCCGTTGGGTCAAGCGTTTTGTCGAACTCCGCCGCCCGTACCTGCATATTCACTCCGCCTCTGATGGTGACGAAATCGCCCTCGTGAGCCTCCGCAATTCCCGTGTTGACAGCCAACCCGGTGTCCTTGGGCTCTTGCACGGACCGGACGACTACGATGCGCCGCAGAGCAATTCCGGCCCAGACTTTACACCCGGTCACCGCCGCACAGCTTCTGGGCGCGTGATTTCTACCATTTGGACCGGCCCTGGCGGCGGTTCCTCTGGCAGCAGTGGGCAGGGATTGCAGCGCCTCAGCGAACGCATGCAAGCCGCTGTGTTTGCCATCTACGGTACAGACAACACGTGGCTATTTGCTGCACGTAGCGAACGCGAGAAAATGGACTGGATCTTCCGCATCGACCAAACATACTTGTCCAACACCGACAGTGCCACCAACAGCGGCATCATGAGCCCATACCAGGGGAGTGAGTACTAGTTTACTTTACACTTGACGACATTGATCCCCTCTTTCCCTCCTATTACGGGACCAAAGGGTTGTTTAGTCTTTTTTTTCTTTGTCTATGAGCTATTTCATCCGTTCCTAATTATCTTTTTTTTCGGTGCATACGCAACTCAATGCAGGCGGCTTAGATGACCAACTTAGATTATACCCCGTTGAATTGGAGGAAAGAAAGAATGGGAGCAAAAGATCATGTAAAGTCATTTTTTAATGAAGAAAACGAGATGTAAAGAGCCACAGATGGATACTCTGTGGACTTTGGATATCTCTAATTCGAAGGATGAAAGGACGAAGAATAGAGATGGATTTTTGGGGTTTACTACAATGTCTGTAGGATAATTGAACTGTGATGAGCTGATGAAATGTTTGCCGTAGCGGGCAACGAGTTGCTCAAATTGCCACTGGTGCCCGTTGAGACGGTCGTCTTCTTAAGGTGAATGATATCTACCAATGGATTGTCCTAATCACCACCCACATTCTCATGGTCATTCATTTGAAGCCCATGGCTATTGACCCTCTCCAAACTGTCGGGCTGGCGTCCTGGTATCTGGCCCCCAGTCCCGGTGACGGCAAGAAGGCCGGCATATCCTTGGCAAACAACGCATCTTGGGACCGAACATCCCGGAAGCCCAAGGGGGTGTGGAAGAATATCGGGGCAAACAACGGAGACGCCGCTGCCTTTGTACACCTGCTCCGTTCTTATATGCATGGTATGCAATAACTTACAAGAAAGGAAGCGCCGAGCCCCGTAAGCGTCCATCCGTACTGATTGGAGCCTCCGTCGCATAGCTGAAAAGGGATGAACATCGAACGAGCTTGGGAGACGAGGGGCAAAAGCACCGTGGGGTGTAAATGCCGTCGTTGCAAATATGCCACAATGTATGTATTTGATGCGAGAGCCAAGTCTGAACGGAGTTCCACTCCTTGTTCTACCCACAAAATTCGTGTCAGTTTCGACAGGTGACTTCAGTAATTCACGTTGAACAATACAATGCATCTGGTAGCCGGGGCCTGTCCGCCGAAAAGGAATGGATGCTCTTCAGCACCGTACCCAGATTGCCGGTGCCGCTAACGCCAAAACAAGGACCAAACCCATAGACCACTTCCGGGGTGCTAAAATGGAGTGAGTGAAATTGTCACGCATTAGCTGGCCCAAAAGAAGTGACATGTTACAAATACTTCACCGCCCAACGGGACCAGATCCTGCACTGTGCGTCTTGATAACTTGTGATCAAACCAAGGCAGCTACGCACTGGCTTCGTCAACAACGACCCAGGACCGCGGTTTGGGCGATAATAGTAATCGGCACGCTTGCTGCAGTACAGACCGCATGTCCCCATACCAGCTGTGTTCAATGGCTGACGACGGCCAGAAGGCACTTCGCGCACAGGAAGCACAAGCTCGCTCGGCTGGCAGGGGCTAGAGGCTTGAGTGGGCGCTATTCTTGTCGCACTACGGAGGGAGTACTTGGTGTGAGCCAGAACCAAATTGTCGGGTCATTTACCCAGGCAAAGCCGGGGTGCACCCCGGCTCCCGTGTTGAGACGGTCGTGGATAGTTTCGGGCCCAGATGAACGCCTCCTTTATTGTCTACGCAGTCGTTACCTACTTAGGTAAGTACTCGAGGTAGTGGTTAACTTGCAGGCGCACATACTGTGAGGGACCAACAGCGTCAAGACCTGGCGTCAAGTTGACATGACGTGGCTGCGGGCGGCAAGACGCCACGAAGCATCCATCCACATCTTTCACCAGCTTGCGTCAAGCATCATAGGTTATAGGTCGGACAACATGTGTTCGAGTACTACCACTGTAGGCTGATCGTATGCCTCGAGCCCGCACTCATATGCTTGTGGCGAAAAACCTGGGGAAGATGCCCGAGTCGAGACGGTTATACCCGTGGTCTTCACAACTGCATAAATGCTGACATCCGAGGTGTCAATCAGTCACAGTCGACTTTCCCTGCTCCATCGTTGTTGCCTTCAATCCCATTTTCCAATGCTCTTGCAGCCGATTCATCATCGCCTTGTCCTTTGCGAGTGAGTGATTTTAGCCGAGGTGGGAAAGTGCGACCTTGGCCAGGGTATCTCCTCCCTGTTCTCTGGTTTTGCAGATGCAGACAAAATGCAAGCTAAATGAATGACTAAGTAGGGTCCTGTACCCGGATATTGCTTGGCTTCGGTAGATGCATCATTCATCAGCTTGACCCATCAGTTCGCCCTCCCTGCCTCGACGCCCGCCTGGAAGCCTCCCCGGGGACTCGGAAACGGCCAGTGCTGAGAGAGTCAGTCAACCAGTCTCTTAGTCGTGGTCCTTTGCTCTTGGGACTAGGTGGGGGGTGAGAGCAAATGTCGGATGATTTCTTATTGATGTCGTCTATGTGATCGGGCTTTGAATGATGGCTGCTTTGCTCGTATCTTCCGCCAATGGCACATGCGCCCTTGGGTGAATTTTGCTTGCTCGGTACGAAATCCACCGCCCCTTCTCTGCATCGAGGTGACAGACATCTAACTTTCATAGAGGACATCTGGAGGCATTCCGCAAATCTTGGTTGGTGGCACAGCGTAGACCCTTGTCGCCAAATTTCCCCGTCCCATATGTATGACGACCGTAGCTCAATGCTGTACGCAGTTTGTTTCTGGCAGCAGAACCCAGCACTCAGGACAGTGCTGCCGCCCCTGCATCCAATAGCCCTGGATATCTGGCGTAACAGTTGCCAGGCGGGGAAAATGAAACAACCAAAAGCAATCGGTTGAGCAATTCCGCGCTGCACTCCACCAAGGCAGGAGGCAGTTGGAACGATTAGGAAGTAACCAGCTGGGTCAAGCTCGTGAGACATTGATGGCGTCGTAAGACAAGACAGCTCCCAACAGCATGGCCCTTCAAAAGCGGGTGTAGGTAGCCCAGGGACACCCGACCCGGATAGTCGGGAATATCACCTGCTTTCAAGTCTGAAATGGGAGGAGCGCCACGCCTGCTTCAAACCGTTTTGTCTCTCCTTGAGACTTGAACTCGAGATAGGTCATTACTGGGCACTCCGTATTATTCGTTCATTGACAATACCAGTAGTTACTCACAACTTGCCGCAATGCCAACTACAAGGGTCAATCCTTCTTGAACCCTGGCTCCTTAGTCCAGTATCCCCGTCAAATCACCCCGCTGTCACCCCCATGCGAGAGATTAGCTGAACCAACGTATCGGGCCCAAAAGGCTCCAGAATCTCCAAGACAGAGGCGGAGCTAGCCGGACGTTCAGGCATGCATGAAAACGGAGCATGGGTCTTCTCTGAAAAAAGAGAAAAGCAAAGTACCGAGCGAGTTTATGTTGCTTCTGCTGGTCGTGCTTTAGAAAGCCCGCAACCTACGCCCTCGCCTCGTAACTTTCCCATATCCCAAGTGTTTTCAGAAGACGGTGCTGACTAGCATGGCGACAATCATGAGAAACCCAAATTGACGAGGAAAAATCCATGTGTGCTTTGTAGCTTCCATCTCCCCAATTTGCCCTGTTGTCAATATTCACGGTCAAACGGCCAACGCATCTTCATGCAAACCTCGTCCGAAGCAACTTGGAGCAGCATTTTGCCGAAACCCACCGAAGTGCCCCAGTGCCTGGTTTTGCTGCCATCCCTCTCAAGTTCTTGTGAATCTCAGCCTAGCTACTTGGGCGTCGGCGTTTTCATGTTTGGCAAGCTTGAAACACATTCATTGTCTCGAGAAATCTTCTTGCTCATTGACGACCGCCTTTTTGATCCATAGCGATCCTTTGTTGGATGTGTACAATTCAAACTGGATCACAACGACGCAGAATTACCCCTGTACATATGGACACGGGTCTATTGATCAAAGCACAGTTGCCCTGCCGTCGAATGGGGCATCGCGACTCAGGTTGTACTTTTCTGGGAACCCTCCCATCCTCATAACAGGGAGTTCTGCCTGCACACACAGGAAGATCAAGATCTACGTTACAAGCTTCTTGACTCCCGCTTGCCATTCGTCACTCATCCTTTAGGTCTTTTCCAACAGGTCTTGGGGACTTTGACCACGCTCTGCTTTCCAGTACCTAACCTGTTGCTGCTGTTAGACGACCACATCCTCGGTCGTCCCATACATTACACTGAAAACGGCCACTACTCTATGGACTCGACTTTCCCCCCAAAAAAATCATGCTACTGACATGATGGTGGACACAAACACGAACCAAAATGGGAATGGGGTGTGGGAAAAGGAGTCGTCGAATTCAAATTTCCAGAACTTTGAATTTACATTCAACGTGCCTTCTGAGAACAGTAGTTCTACAGGGTCTAATGTAAGTTGTGCAAAATGAGCCTGAACCTGATTTTCACTGCCAGCCACCTGCCAACAACAGCTAATTTGAAATTTCTCGCCTTAATGGCCAAGTGTATAGGAAAAGTATGTCAGATCTCGATGGATCAATCCATACGCATATTCTCAGTTGCCAACTTTGTCAGCATACTGAAAAACTATCCCCATTTAGAAAGCCTCCGAATCTCTGTCAGATAGTGTGCAGAACTACCCTGAAGAATTTGGGCGCACATACCACGCTTATAGAGCAGGATGTAGGTGTCACATTTCCCCCCATCCCGAAAACAAAAATAGAAAGTGTTTCTCTGTGCTTGGTTCTACCGTGTTCCCTATGGGGATCCTCTACTTAAAATTCAAGGCTAACAGTTACCAACAGCATATGCTTTCCCGAACGACGTATCAGAACGCGAACGACTTGTGCTACAAGGCGAACTTTTATCAAAGCTCTTTGATGGCAGATTGTTTTTCTCTCCTTTGAGTAGAATAAGCCCGCCGCGTTATATTCTTGACATTGCTACGGGGCTAGGCGATTGGGCTATCCAAATGGGTGATTTGTTCCCTACGGCGGAGGTTATTGCCACTGATTTGTCACCCATTCAACCCGACGAAGTGCCCCCCAATGTTAACTTCTTCGTCGAAGACTCGTAAGTTATCATTTCGTCTGCTCCTTGAAGCTTACAGTGTCCCGGAAGAGTCTAACCTTTTTCTGAATCCGCCGATTCTTTAGGTCTGATCCCTGGGATTACTCACACAAGTTTGATTTCATTCACACTCGAGTTACCAGTGGATGCTGGGAATCGTTCGAAAAGCAAATTGTTCAGCAGGCCTTCGATTCTCTCGAACCTGGAGGGTACTTTGAATCGCAGGAGGTTGACAGTACCCTGGGGTGTGATGATGGCACCGTAAATGCCGGCGGGGCGTTGGCACGATGGCTGAATGACATCACGATAGCTGGCAATAAATGTAATCGTCCGTTGATTACTGGTGCAATAATGAGGGAGGCTTACGAAAGAGTCGGTTTCATCGACGTTCAAGAGATCACATTCAAGGTCCCCACCAATGGATGGGCAAAAGATGCACATTTGAAGGAAATCGGCAAGATGTGGGAGAGGAATCTCCTATCTGGGCTGAGCGGGTTCTCTCTCAGCCTATTCCACAGAGTGTTTAATATGAGCCCAGAGGAAATCGAGGTATGCTACTTGTGGTCGGCTGACTCGTATATTGTGCTATACGAGCAGTGATGAATCAGCAAGCACTAACAATGTCACAGGTCTCCTTGGTCGACGTACGCCGAGAGATATCGGACCCTGGGGTGCACGCTTGGATGCCGGTGTATGTTGTATGGGGTAGAAAACCTTATCCAGGAGAAAAGGCTTGAGGCTCATGTTGATTGAAACGGGAATACTTGTCCAAGCCCTTGCCATATGCAGGGGAAGGAGAATACTGTTCGTTCTAGCGGTTGCATCACCGGTTCGAGAAGAAGTGATGGCCTTCCTTTTTGGGGTACCAGGTTCATACATCCCGGGAGGCTAAATTTGCTTGTCATCCAAAAGCACAGGGCAAGGCGTCGGGCGAGAGTATTAGCATTACTGATGAGCATGGACTTTGACGTCTAGCGGCGAAGCATTAGTTATTTATGATGCCTAGCGGTACTCGGAACACAAGACAGACCCATACGTACACAAGCAGTCCATGATTCAAACGCACTAAGGGAGCATGCAAGTTTAACTACAGCTAGAAAATGGATGTCCAATTCCGACCTCGTGGTCAGCGTCTATGCAATTCTACTACTGCTTAACCAACCGCCCTATATCCGCGATTTCTGTCCACCATAGTAACATCTCGCTCATTAGGAACTCGTGCCGCCCGCGTATCCAAACCCGGAGACTGTCATATCCATAATGGTTGGACGCGATAACCGAATAGTTCCACAAATCAAGCCAAGACTGACAAAAGACGGGATTGGGGAATTGCGATCGCTGTCAACCGGAAATTGATGAGGATAAAATTGCATAGTACAGAGTAAGAAATTCAAGAGACAAAATTCAGTTGTGCAACTACACAGAAGCCCGGTAGTGAAGATTGCGAAGGGTGTTGTCGCAGTCCAAAGTTGCAGTCGCGTGCGCCGACGCCCGTTTTGCGCGGCCCCGCAGCCGCTCACTCCCAACAAGCTTCATCATTTGTGCTCCCAACAAGCGAGGAACCGTTCTTCACGCTCGTGCAGTGCGATTGACACGGCTGTGCCCCCCAGCCATTCAGGTCCAGAATGCTTCCGTCGCGGCTCGTACGGCCCAGCCGGCGCTTCTCACGCAGCGCCATAACCACAGCCATCTCGGTCACACCACGCGCGACAGTCGGCCCTCGCCCTTTCTCACAATCCCGACTCCAAAGCTCCCGAGATCCCTACGAACGACTCCGAAATGCCCGCCCGCTCGTGCCCGACATTATCGCTCGCAGACTCACCTCGGCCGGGCGGTCACGCAACTCCAAGGCTGTCGTGGTGATTGCCGTCATTGGCGCCATTGCCTTTTACATCTACAATTCCCAGACGGTGCCGGTCACGGGGAGGCGGCGGTTCAACTTCCTGTCAGATAAATTGGTCGAGCGAGCGCATTCTCGAGCTGCCGAGGCCGTTATACTAGCTGTCGAGGAGCAGGGGGGCCACTTCTTGTCCGACTGGGATCCAAGATGCATGTTGGTCAAGAGGGTTATGAAGAGGTTGATTCCGGTGAGTGGCTTGCCAGGGTTGAACTGGGAGATTCGCGTCATCGCAGACAACAGTAGGTGCTCTTGCCAATTCTTGGCCCAAAATCAGTATATCGGGTCACCGATGGACTTACACGTGGTGGGAATCGCTACAGGGACCGCAAACGCATTCGTCCTCCCCGGCGGCAAGGTCTTTGTGCACAGCGGCATCCTCAACGTCTGCCGAAACGAGGACGCGCTCGCCGCCGTGCTCGGGCACGAAATCGCGCACAATACCGCGTCGCACGTTGCCGAGCGGCTTTCCGCCGCGTGGGTGGGAAACCTCACGGCGGGCAGCCTGTTCTTCTTGGCCGGGGCGATCCCCGGCTTGGCGCTGTTTGGAATCTGGACACTGGCGGGCGGTTTCTTTCTACAGGATCTACTGTACTACCTCCCCATGGGGCGCAAGCAGGAGAGCGAGGCAGATTACATTGGGCTGATGATGATGGCGGAGGCGTGTTACGATCCCAGGCAGGCGGTTGGGTTTTGGCAGAGAATGGAGATGATTCAGAAGACGGGAGGCCAGGAAGTGCCTGAGATGCTGAGTACCCATCCTTCGGTTGGTGTGACTATAGACGAGTACCCCTTGTTTTGGAAAGGGGGGGTAGGGATTATTTGCTAACCAAGCGGCGTGTAGAACGAAAATCGAGTCAACAAGATCAAGGAGTGGCTACCAATCGCGATGGAGAAGAGGCAGGAGAGCGATTGTAGTGGTACGTCGGCGTTTGCGGACAGGTTCAGGATTGCGCTGAGGAGGGGGATTCCGGTGCATGAGGTGTAGACTACATGTAGACTCGGAGTGTCGTGGTGTTTGGTACATTGATTGCCGGCTTGTATTTGGATTGCATTGGCCCCGAATTTTCCACGTGGAGAGAGACTATGTTTGTACATGAGCATGACGATTTTGCCATTCTGATGACAATTCGTGATGGGGCACTATTTTGTTTCAAAAAACAAACAAATTCGAGGCATATTGAAGAAGGTGTCTTCCTGCTTACGGCATCTAGGTAGGTATCGTTCGGGAATATCACCCCCGCATGGAATTCATCTTGATGCCGACGACGACAGGATAGCATGTTTCCCACCGAGGCTCTCGCGTGTCCCAACTGGGACTGATTACCATGGCGGCCCGGCCACCGCCAAATGGCAAATGGCGCTAGTACTCGGCCAAGCACCGTCTGACCAATCCAGCATCGCTCATAGGCCCATGACGTCGGCCGGACCAGTTTGCCCGGCACCCCGGACTGGGGGACCAAGTGGGCGGAGGCGACCCCAAGCGGGCGCGTGGCCAGGCTGAGCCGAGGTAAAATGCTAAACAATGAATTTATCCCATCCTAAGCTTCCCGTCTTTAACCTCGCCGGTTCCCGTCCTTTCAACCTCCTCGTCTCTCCAATTTCTCATGACAACGAAACCGAATTCACTTCCCACGCCGTCTCCACGCCATATTCAACATGTCCGAGACCTACACTGTTGCCGACGTGCAGAAGCACAAGACAGAGGCCGACGGCATGTGGTTGATTGTCGAGAACAACGTCTATGACATTACTAGTACGTGATTTCCGGCTCCCGCCCCCATCGGCCGGACTATCCAATCCGTTTTCATTTTCCTCTGCCGTCGCGACAGCATCCTTTTACACGGCCGATGGCGTGTGAGCTGGTCACCCGCGCTGCTGGGCTTGCCATCTTTCACTTTCACGTGATGGAGCGTCGTGTTCGGCAATTAAGATGCCATTTGGCGACGACCATGAGCCAAACGACCAGTTGACGTGGCTAACGCGTTGCAGAGTTCCTCCCCGAGCACCCCGGCGGCGACCGCATCCTGAAGCGATTCGCTGGCAAGAATGCCACCAAGGCCTTCTGGAAGTACCACTCCGAGAGCGTGCTGAAGAAGTATGGCGACAAGTACAAGATTGGCACCGTCGCCGAGGCGCCCAAGCTGTAAAATGCGCATTCAACCGGCGCAATATTTAAAAACCACATATTCAATGAGAAAAAATGGGACACATGACGAAGGGATACAGCTGGGCCGAACATGATGCCCGCTCAAGCTCTGGCCCGTTAGACGCAGCAGCGTAGAGGCAGACGTGATGGGCGTGTACAATTTTTTTTTTTTTTTTTGTCCCCTTGTGGCCAGGTAGATTTTTTGGATACCAAACAGGCCGAGGGGCTTGGTACTTGGGAACATAGACGGCATGTCTGACAGCGAGGAATGTGTACTGTAGACGATAGATTCTCACCGGACAGGATTTGCTCCTTTTGCGGAACGAACTGTGTTGCCGGGTCTGGTTCGCCATTCGGCTGCGGGAATACATTTACATTTTGACCGCCCTCTGTGTGATCAGTGGTATTTCATGTATGGAGTGCTGTACTTTTATTCCACGGTTGAGGCAAGACTAAGCCCTGTGCTGCTGGGGATGTTTTCCCCTTTTGTTGTCGCAATACGGCACAGTCTCGTGTTTCCAAACTGACCGTCTCGAGGCCCGGGTTGCACAGAAACCCCCCAATGGACACTCGACCCGTCTTGTTCCCGCTTGAATGATGATGATGCCGTCTCGATTTTTTTGTCAAATATCAGAAGCCGAGCCTTGCAAACACACCTGCCAGGTAGTGGGCCGCAAGCGTGGCGCAAACATGCCACGCCCTCCAGACGACAATTCGCATCCAAGTTGCACTTGACCCTTGACAACTTGCTCAAACCTCATGGTCCCTCTTCCTGCCAACCACCAAAGGCCAACAAAAATGGGCGACATTTTCAGCCTCTCCGCCATACAACCCCGCCTCGCGGAGCGCGACGACCCCCGCGCCTCATACGGGCCAACCCTCCCACCACACTCGTCCATCCAAGCCGCCGAATCGTCTCTTCCCGACCCCCAGTCGCCCAACTATCTCCAAGGCCAGCCGCCCTCGTCCACGGCATCCCATATCATCAGGGACATCGTCCCCGCCCTCACCGGCCAAGCCCGCTCCAGCCGCTACTACGGCTTCGTCACAGGCGGCGTGCTGCCCATCGCCGAGTGGGCAGACAATGTCGTTTCGCGGACAGACCAAAATGTGCAGGTTCACCTGCCGGCCCAGACGGCTGCCACGGCCGTGGAAGATGCCGCGCTGGAGATGCTCGTGCGGCTGTTGAGGCTGCATGTCGGCGGCGCGACGTGGGCCGGCAGGACGTTTACGACGGGCGCGACGGCCAGCAATATTCTCGGGCTGGCCTGTGGGCGGGAGATCGTTGTGAATAGGAGGCTTGGCGGGGAGGGCGTGGGCGAGCTGGGTTTGTTGGCGGCGTGTGCGAGGGCTGGTGTTGAGGAGATACAGGTGCTTACGAGCGCGGGACACAGCTCGCTTTCCAAGGCGGCGAGCGTGGTTGGGCTGGGGAGACGGAGCGTCAAGGAGCTGGCCCTGAGCGAGAACCAGCCGTGGAGGCTGGATATCGATGCTCTAGAGGGCGAGTTGAGGAGGCGTGGCACGGCGAGTATTATCGCGATTACCGCGGGGGATGTGAATACCGGCGGGTACGCGTTGCAAGGGCCTGAGGAGTGGAAGAGGGTGAGGGAGCTGGCAGATACCTATGGTGCTTGGATTCATGTCGACGGCGGCAAGTTGCTAGTGTGTGTCTCCGCGCACAAGATGCCATTACTGACTTGTTTTAGCCATGGGTGTATTTGCGAGGGCTCTCGGCGACGAACCGCAACATCAGCTGCTGAAGCAAAGAACAGACGGCATCCAACTAGCAGACAGCATCACACTCGACGGCCACAAACTCCTCAACGTAGTATGCCGCCTACTTCCCGCTCCTCCGTTCGTCGCAAAAACCGACAGACTAACCAAGACAAGCCCTACGACTGTGGCATTTTCTTCACGCGCTCCGCGTCAACCCTTTCGTCCGTCTTCGTGAACCCCAACGCCGCATATCTCGCCTCCTCAGCAGCAGCCACGATCCCATCGCCTCTGAACATTGGTCTCGAAAATTCCCGCCGCTTCCGCGCGCTGCCAGCATACGCCGTGCTGCTCAGCGAGGGGCGTCCCGGCATTGCCAAACTGCTCTCCAACATGATTGCCTTGTGCCGCAAGCTAGCTGCGTATCTGCGCGAGTCGCCGCATTACGAACTTCTGCCGGATGAGAGCGCGCCGCTGGACGGCATTTTCATGACCCTGCTCTTCCGAGCTAGGAGCAAAGACGTAAATGACGCGCTGGTTGACCGCATCAACCGCACCAGGGAAATGTACGTCTCCGGGACCAAGTGGAAGGGCGAAGCCGCAGTCCGTGTAGCCGTGTCGAATTGGAAGGTCCATGTAGACCGCGACTTTGCGGTTGTGACGCAGATATTGGATGCCGTGGCCGAAGGACGAGAATGTAGCATCGAGAGCACTCTCTAACCGCAGCAGAGAGAGCGGGAAGGGGAAAAAAAAAAAAAACTTTAGATCATAAATGTAATAAAAGATCCCACAACGCCCAGCTATACCGCGTAGAAAATCATGGCCATGGTAAGTGGCTGTGAAAAAACCATTTTCCCCTCAGCCAAACTTCTTCGACCCGCCTTTGATGGAAACTTTCTTGTCTTTGCCCTTCTTACCCTTCCCAATCAACTCCAAGTGTCCTGCTCTCTCGCCCAATAACGCCTCCGTCTTGGCTGTCAGGCCAGCGGAGAACTTCTTGTGAGCCTTCTCAAGGCTTGTTTTTGCCTTTTGCGGCTTGTTCACCTTAGAGGCTTGTTTTTTGGAGTGCGTTGCCTTGGGGGCCTTGGCTTTGGTGGACTGTTTTATTGCGCCTTGCGCCATTGTTTTTTTTTTTTCTCTTTTTTTTTTTTTTGCAACAACTGTACAGTCGGCCCGGAATTTCGTTGGGTTGGTTGCGAAAATCGGCTGGTGGGTTTTTTTTTGGGGGGGGGGGGGGGGTTGACTGTGGAAATGGTTGAAAGAGGCTGGAAATTTGGGCACATGCACGGCTTGTTGGATACTTTTCTGCCGGGTTCAGAGGCACTAGCATACTCACCGCCCTACAAGGATGACCCACATCTACCAGTTGCGTTATGCCGCTGTTAGCGTTGTGCAATATACATGAACAAAAGTTATATGAATAATTGTAGGGAGAGAATGGCTTGGTTGGGAATATGTAAAACGACGCCTTATCGCATATCAATCATGAATTCATATCACCTTCTCGCACTCACTTACATCACCAACATTGAACCCGAGTCACGTCTATTTATTATTTATGCACATTCTATCCATGAATCCATGATGCATGGTCAAATTTCACATTATATGGTATCCCAATGCTCACATATGCGCCCCCATACGACACTGACTCCGCGAAACTCACCTTTCCCTGCCACACTGGCCATCACTACAGTCTGCACAGGTAGCAACGTGGAATTTACCACCCATCCCCCCATCCATCATCGTCATCGGTCTCTTTCGGCTTCATGTCAATCTTCTTGGCCGCCGGTACTTTAGCAGCAGGCTTTGCGGTTGGTTTGGCAGCTGGTTTCTTCGTCGTCGTCGACTTTGACAGGCCCTTGGGTAGTGGTTTGGCTGATCCGGGCTTCTTCTTCTGTGCTTGGGCTGCTAGCCACCCAGCAAAATCTGGTTCTTCTCCGTCATCAAACGGTACAGCCTTTTCAGGGGCCTTGCTCGTGGTTGACGATGGTATAACCTCATCATCGTCTCCCATTTCCCCCCACGCATCACCTGCGTCATCAAATCCGTCATCTTGCCAGAAGGCATCTGCCATTGCACTGGCGCTCGGTGATGTTGTCCCATATGTTTGGGGAGGCGGCGGGCTGATAGCTTGTTTGTGTCGAGTAGATGCAGAGGTACTTGGCAATCGTCTAGTTTCAGGGCCAGGTGACGAGGTTGGTTTTGGTGAGTTGACACCCGAGCCGCCGTTTGCTGTCTGCATATCGCCGGCTGCAGTCGAAAGCTTATTAGTGAAGGAAGATATTGCCCAACCCGTCCAGCCAGCAGAACCGCTCTGCTGCGGCGTCCCCATTCTTGCAGGCTGCGTTTCTCCCGCCTTCGGAGGGGGGAGGGCTGTGTCAGGCATGGCCGATGCAGCTTTGCGAACCTTCTGAAGATACGAGTCAATGGTGCGATTTGCCTGATCTCGAATCATTCGCTCCTTATCAATCATCAATGGGCAGACTAAGGGGAGAATGCGGACGGCGCAGTCCTCTTCGGTGAAGTACTCTGCAGTGGCGGCAAGTGACATAAGAGCAGCATTTCGGGCGTGGACGAATGGGTCCCTCAGGGACCGTGTAAATGCGGCGATGAGAACTTTGGAGCGAGAAGATGTTCCAAGATGTTTAGCAATCTTTCCTAGGCAGATAGTGGTGTTTGTTCGGATACCAGGCTGCTCGTCGTTTGCAGTTTTCGCCAGGTGCTTGAGCAGGTCACCATTTATGGTCCTATCAGACAACTTGCTAATAAGAAGGAGAACCGACTTCAGTGTCTGCTCTCTAACGACTGGTTGAACATCTGTGAATCCCGTGACCTACGTGAGAGTGTCAGCTAGGGTCATCTCAAATACGTGCCAGGGGCTCCTAACTATATGTGGGAATAGCTTGTCGTTGACAATCTTTTGAGGGAGTCGGTCGATTATCAACGGTAGATTGTCCAGTAGATATACTCGTATAGCTCGATCTGGGTTTGCAAACATCTTGATAATGAATGGTGTTATCCTAGTTTCAAAATCGTCGTTGGACATGTTGGCAGCGATTTTCAGAATGACACCGAGAGCCTTAGGGCCGCCGCCGCCAAATTCAACCGACTTGATCAACTCTGGTAGAACCTTCATTTTGAAGAACTCTTCGGGGAAATCGTCAGTGAGTTGGTCTAAATCGCTGCCATGTTGTTAGTCTTGAGACATGAGAGAGCATCTTGAAATGTCGAATTACCTCAAAAATTCCTCTCTCTCACTTGGAGATTTCATTCCGAGGTTGTCGATGCCGTCCGTTAATTTGATCAAGGGGCTGTCAAAGAACGACCCCGTCCTGTTCCCTTGTTCGAGAAAGGCGGATACTGCAATACGAGCCTTGGGATTAGCATTGCAGAGTCGCTTGTAACTTGACTGCATCGTTGGAGGGATGTTCTTCGTTTGGCCAGCTTGGCTGCTTCCGTTGTACTCATTGTTAAATGTTTCGAATATCAGTACTCCAAAGCTGAAGGAGTCTACCGCTGAGTGAGGGTTCTTCTTGATGACATCCCATCCACCTTGAGCCAACTCTGGCGGCGCATAGCGAGATGAATCGGGTACTAAGCTTCCATATGTCTACAGGAATGGTCAGCAACTGACATTGGCGGTTGAGAAATTGCTCATGCTCACATAGATGGCAGATTCGTCGTCTTTAACGCTACTCAAAACTTCAAACCCGCCCAGCTTCCACTCTCCGCTTTCCGACGTATATACAGATCCCACTTTGAGGTTTCCGTGGATCGACGACGCATCGGTATTAATAAACTTGATAGTTCTCTAAGAAGTCGTTAGCAAATAAGGATGCCTTTCTTCTGCAAGACATATCTTTCGCACCGCAACACTATGCAAGCCCCATTTAATTGTTTCGGGGGCGAGACTCTTTCGGCGCACATGCCATCGAAGAGGAACCACCCGCTCGGTGGCAATATATATGTATGTTTCGGTCTGGTCTGGACTCAGCAAAAAGGTTCAAGTCGGGAATAGCAAATCGGCATTGTATACCTCGACGGTATCCAACACCTTTATAACTCCGGGGTGTCGCATCGTCCGTAATTTCTTCAGCGCATTTCTAGCCAGAGGGAGGCGGCCTCTGTTGGCTGTGATATCAAAGGAAAAGATGCTGCAGTTTGACCCGTCTTCCTAAACCAGAGGGTTAGCATACGGTGCAATCGTAGGCACAGAGAGGCAGCGTGATTCCGAACCCTCTTGGTTCCATTGTACAGAGTGAAAACGGACTCGTCAATGTCGACTTTATCTCCGAAGTTGTATGGAAAGGGAGGCCCCGTGGCAATGGCAGATGCCACGGCATTCTTTAGAAAGTCCATGACCAGGCAAGATGCCTACTGGGTAGGCAGTCAACAGGAGTCAACCACTCGCTCGATTCGATGCCGATGAAAATATGCAAAGGTGAAAATATGCAAAGATGCATGTATCGGCAGCTTCTGAAATGCGCACGACTTGCGCAGGTTCAGCGGCGCGCAAAGCCAGCAGCAGGCAGAGGGAACGCAAGGCAGGCCTAAGCAGCCACGAAGCTTCAATGGCCAAAGAGTTGCGCTTGGTGGATGAAAGCCAGCTTGCCAAGGTTCGCCTGGCCCCTCCAGGTGGCCCCTCGCTTTCAATATCCGGGCCCCGCCCGTGCCTAGTACTTGCTTGAGTCTCATTCTCATCTATGTGCAACAATATGTCAGCATCGCCAGGGTCGAAGATACAAGATGCCATTCATGTTTCAGGTGCCCAGGCACTTGCAAGGCTTTTCACTCACCACCCAGACACATGGAAGTTAGCACCCAGTCCCTGGATACACACATGCTCAGCACCAAGTAACTGCATAGTCTTTGTGGTATTGTGCCAGTCGAGCCAGTCAGCGACTCAAAGGTGGGGATGAGCGACTAGGCCTAGACGGTCCACTTTCCTCCGGATGTGCATTGTGCATCCCGCCCCGCCAAGCGCTCAGCGACTATGACAGCCCGGAAACTCGACCTGGCTTCCTTCGATGTTTCCTTCACCAAACGCAAATACTCGACATTCGACCACCTTTTCCACTCCCCTTCTCTTCGGCCGCGTTTGGTCTTGATGCGGCATCTTTCGCATCAGGTCATTCCCGTCTATGTTTCCTATTCACCCGACAACTGTATGGGCTGTCTCACAGCCAGTAGGAGACTCAACCTCGCAGCTTGAGGCTCACGTGTCACCTCGTTTGCCTCGTTGTCCCACAGCCGCTTATTTGGCTTCACCACAGCTGCACCCTACGAAGCGCCCGGAACCTTGTTTGAGTTTTCTCATTACTAGCACGGGGCTTCTCTGCAAAGTCTGGTGAGTCTAGCTTGACTGGTTTGCTTGTTACTTTTCAACAATCCCCCACCAACTCTTGCAGCGAGTGATGCCATGTGGTAAAAGGTCTGACCGAGCGGAACCTTCTGTGTTTTGAGTCTCTTCAATTCTAACAGCAAGCCACCCCAGACTACATTACGTTAGATGGGAGTCGGATTAAGCTGGCGTCTGCGTGCTCTTGAAAATCCCCTTGGGAACGTTGCCTTACAGGTTTCGCGGTAGCACGCCCGACGTACATCACGCGTCGCAAACTGGAGTTTTGATTCTCATATTCCACGGATCAAAGACCAAAGGCCGCGACAAACAGAATGCATTAATTTGTCACAATTCTGCAAGAGTCAACTCATAACCGCTGCTGTTCCTTGGCTGAAGTCCAAAATGAATAACTGAAAAGATCTGACGCTGTCCTATTTTGTTTCCCTTCTTGTATCGGGTGCATGGACAAGTAACTATTCTAACACATCTGTGCATAGTACATTCTCGTAACAAGATTTTTCTCTTCCCTCGAGTTCATCAGTTTGCCATCACCAATGTCTCGTCGCTGGTGAATTCCTCTCCGGCGCTTCGGGGGACGCCTCAAGTTCAGCTGCACAGATGCGGGCTATACAGCTCTCCCCTTCTGCAAAGCTTATCACGATACCTTGACATGAGCGAGCATTATGAGCAATCTAGGCCCTGAAGAAAAGGCAACATCCTCAGCTTTCATCCAAAGTAGTGTGACTGCAAATACTTCCGCAGTAGGAGTCGCGAAGAAAACTGGATCACACAAATACACGGCCAAGAGGACACCAAGGCCTCTTCCGGGCTCTACTACAGCGACTCATTTATCACGTCTTCCCCCAGTCCGACATATTCTATCCAACTCATCTTCTACGCCTGCCGCGCCTGCCGTGCCCACTGAGACGGCGGCAACAGCGGCCTCGTTTAAGCCTTCGCATTTTATTCCACACGCCTCTCGTGCCCGCACACATCATGCTGGTACAAGGCTAAACCTACCCATTCAAACGCAAGTTTCGCGGAGTTCATTTCAGAGTAGGCAATCATGGTGTCCAGATGTTGTCCAGAGTTCATATCAAGATGCATCTCAGCCAGCAGGGCAGGTCTCTACGATCTCGACCCGCACGCGGCGTGAACTAGATTCTCAGCCACCAAGTAGGGTTGGCATACCCAATGACAACTTGTACGAGTTCACCTTCAGCGCACCAATCATGGAACAGCCGAAATCGATAAGCCGGATACCAATAGATTCTGTGCCGGTCAAGACATCCTCTTCACCAACGTCAACTATTCCCAGATCTCAGCCGCCGCCGACAAGTTCCGGTCGGAAGGGGGACAACTCATATTATAGTCAGGGTCAGGTGTATATCGACTTAACACAGGATGGACCAAGTCTTGATTCGGAACCTTTAGCAGCTACAAATGGAGAGAATCTTGCTTCCGTCCAAAAAGCTGGGCCTGGGCAGGTTGCCACAGCTAACCGCCTAGGCACAAATAGCAAAGTCAACCCACCATCGCCATCCATATCAGACGCATCGTCTGACTTGCCATCCACAGATCATATATGTGAAATAGTGACTCGCGATACTCCCCGCACTCCAGGCCAGAAACGAAAGCGCGATGACAGGCCTCCAGGTGCCCCAAATGGCGTTCAACAAGTTGCACTTACCTCTTCTGCTGGCACTGCTAGTGCAAGGGTAACCCAAGGAGTCGTCGAAGACGCCATTCGGCCCGCCTCGCAAGTTCCTCTTCAGGACAGGACTGGTGCTACCCCTACAGAAACCGCCGTTCGGATCAAAGTCAAATCAGTACAATTTGACTCATCTGCGTTCGACACAGCTCTGTATCAGCAACCTGATGCGACACCTCCTCCTGCTGGGGTGGTGATCGGTCCGCGTATAGAAAACAAGCCCGCTTCAAGCGAGGGTCAGAGAATGTACATCTACGCAAACCCAGCTGTCCATGGAATGCACAACAGGTCTGAAGCTTGGCACGAAAAAAAGGCTCTTGAGATCCAGGCACGCGGTGGTCGCAAGTTTTGGTTCGGCAAAGTTTCTGCACGTTTGCGATGGCTGCAGAGGAAGCGGATTGGATCTTCCAAAGCGCAAGACGTAAACTGTGATCAGATGCCAGAACGCCCTAATCCAGAGCCAGGAGCCTATAGGAGGCCTCTGGATTTTGGGGATGTGCCTGAGTCAAAACTCCCCGAGAAGGTACGACAGAATCCGGACTGGCTAAAAGCCTGCGAATGGTTCAGACAGCAACGAAATTTACAAGACATAAGGCTCCGCGAATCTAAAAGATGCGAGCAGGAAGCGAATGAGTACTACATGATCCTATCTCAGGGAGGGATTCCGGACCTGGGGACGGAGGGTAGTGACTAAGCTCCAGTATGAATGACGAATGGAGTTAAAGGTTGTAGTGGCTTTGGCTTTCATGGCGTTTGGTATATACCCATTTGAGATACGATTACTTTTTGATGAACACCATGTGGTGACTTGACGTTAGAGTAGATAAACAGCGACTCCAGCAAAAATAATGAATATACACGGATATCACAGTACAGGACGTTGGTTAAAGTGACTCAATCAATTGGAATATTCTATCTCTTTTGGATATACCAGACGCCAACAACATCGCCAAGAAAAAGGAATAAAATACAGCAGACCACTCAACAAGGAACGACCGCGCTCGGCCTTTGGCCAGTGTCTTGTTTAAATTCCCTTTGAGAGTAAGTTCAATGCACTACCAGCCAAAATGAACCCGGCCTGATCCTTGGTAACCGCATGGTTGGTCGGGATAAAAATTTCCTCGCCGCTGCTCTTCTTCACCTTGAGCTGCACATCACCCTTGCCCTCGTTCTGCAACATCTCATATAATCCAACGGTGGCAACCTCGTCTCCCGCCGCAATCTTGTCGTAGTCGGCCTCGTTCGCAAACGTCAGCGGAACAACGCCCTGCTTCTTCAGGTTGGTCTCGTGAATTCTGGCAAAGCTCTTTGTCAAGACGACCCTGGCGCCGAGATAGCGCGGCTGCAAAGCGGCGTGTTCTCGTGCCGACCCCTCGCCGTAGTTGTGCTCGGCCACGACGAGCCATTCCTGTCCGCGGGTCTTCCAGAGCTCCGCCAGCTCAGGGATGGTGTGCTTGGAGCCGTCGAGGTCGTAGGCGGCGTTGACCTCGCCGGTTTCAGCGTTGACGGCAGTGTTGAGCGTGTTGGTGGAGATGTTGGGCAGGTGGCCCTTGTATTTGAGCCAGGGGCCGGCGGCCGAGATGGTGTCGGTGGTGCACTTGCCGGTTACTTTGACGAGGACCTTGAGTCCGGTGAGATTGGACTGCGGAAAGGGGGCGAAGGGCTCGAGGAAGGCGAGGCGGTCGGAGGACGGGGAGATGGCGACTTGCACGGACGGGTCGGCGTCTTGGGAGAGCACGCCGAGGGAGGGGACGCCGGGTTCGAAGGGCGTCTGGGGTCCTTCGAGGCCGTGAGGCGGGGAGAATTTGAAAGGCTTGCCGGACGGGGTTTTGAGGGTGTCGGTGATGGGGTTGAAGGTGGTTGAGCCGGCAAAGGCCATGGCCGTGACGATTTCAGGCGAGGCCAGGAAGTTCATGGTTTCGGGGTTTCCGTCGTTGCGGCCGCGGAAGTTGCGGTTGTACGAGGACAGGATGGCGTTGGAGGTGCCCTTTTCGACGCCGTCTTGCCGCTTCCACTGGCCGATGCAGGGGCCGCAGGCGTTGGACAGCAGGATGCCGCCTGCTCCCTCAAAGGTGTCCAGCGTTCCGTCACGCTCGAGGGTGGCTCGAATCTGCTCACTGCCGGGGGTGATGTAGAAGTCGGCAGCGGGCTTGAGACCGGCCTCGGCGGCCTCCTTGAGCAAGCTCTCTACACGGGTCATGTCCTCGTAGGAGCTGTTGGTGCAGCTGCCAATCAGGCCGGCGGACAGCTTCTCCGGCCACTGCTGGTCCTTGACGACGCCCTTGAACTTGCTCAGCGGAGTGGCGAGATCGGGCGTGAAGGGCCCGTTGATGTGAGGCTCCAGCTCGGAGAGGTTGATCTTGATGACCCGGTCGTACTCGGCACCAGCGTCAGCCTTGAACTGGAAGCGAGCGTCTTCGGGGGCTCCCGGATCGGGGAAGCTCTGGAGAGCGTTGACATTGTCGACGGCGTGGGCACGGCGCGTCGCCTGGAGATAACGAGCAGAGGCCTGCGTATACGGGAAGATTGAAGTCGTGGCGCCAACCTCGGCTCCCATGTTGCAGATGGTCGACTGGCCCGTAAGGCTCAGCGTCTCGACACCGTCGCCAAAGTACTCGATGATGTAGCCCGTCCCACCACGAACGGTCAGCTCGCCGGCCAATCTCAAAATAACGTCCTTTGGCGACGCCCAGTCGCCCAGCTTGCCGGTCAGCTCAACGCCCAGGATCCGGGGGGCCTTGAGCTCCCACGGCGCGCCCACCAAGGCCTCGACGGCATCGGCACCGCCCACGCCAATCGTCACGGTACACAAGCCGCCCGCATTGGGCGAGTGGCTGTCGGTCCCCAACATCATCAACCCGGGCAGGGCGTAGTTCTCCAGGACGGTCTGGTGGATGATGCCGGCTCCGGGCGGCCAAAAGTCCATGCCATACTTCCTGGCAGCGCTCTCCAGAAAGTCAAAGACCTCCTTGTTGGCAGCAATGCCGGCCTCGAGGTCGTCGCCGGCGCCCTTGGAACCCACAATCAAGTGGTCGCAGTGGATGCTGGCCGGGATGGCGGGCCGCTCGAGGTTACACGACATGAATTGCAGCAGTGCCATTTGCGCAGACGCATCCTGCATGTTGACGCGGTCCGGCTTGAGGCGCAGGTTGGCCTTGCCGCGGACATGGCGCCCATTGGAGGTGTTTGTGAGCAGAGACTCCTCCACGTTGTCGAGGTGGCTGTAGAGGATCTTTTCGGCCAGCGTCAAGCGCTGCGCGCCCAGGACCCTGCGCACGTCGGTGTACTTGGTGAAGAGCCTCTCGTAGGTTGGCGGCAGGGATTTGACGCTTGAAAAGCGCCGGCGTTGGGTGAGCAGCGCGGATAGTGCTGGTGATGCCGGTGACGATGCGTGTGCTCCGGAGCCGGAGCTACGCACTGCGCCTCGCAAAAGACACTGCAGGGACAGAAAATTAGCATTGATTGGAATTTTGGGACATCAAGCAACGTCGTGAGTATGCTCGTACCGTCATGGCGCCCCCTGAGCGGCTGGCCAGTTCAATTGGAGCCATCGTGTTCACAACGACAGTCTTGTCTGTGCAAGAAGGGACGTTTATTATTAGAGATGAGTATGACTGTACGTATCTTGGGGACTCCGAACCCTGGGTGTGGGGTCCAAATTTTTAATTGACGCTGTCGGATTGGTCCCAGACTCGAGACACTCGACTCTCGCTCGTCTCGGTCCTGTGGATCACGCAATCACATCCCGGCGCCGATAGTCCGATGCGTTCCCCATCCGTTTATACTCCGTAAACACACACTATATTATTGTACAATATTGCTCCCCATTATCATCAATATACAGCAATCCCGTCAGCATCTTCCAGCCACAACGCTGCAAGGTCTTTCGAGAGCCCTAGTCGCAGCTTCCGGAGCACATCCTCGCCCTTAGTGGACACATGCCATCCCTTCCTCCAGTCCCAGCCCCGAGTAGTCTTACCGCCAGCCATGGTTGACCTGTGCATGTGGCTGGCAAGCATGGAGCTCCCGCTCATTACATAACTGCTTCCGCTCAATGATGCCGTCGACTTCTTCATGAGATCCGCCGGTGTTGATCCCTTCAGACCTTGCCCCGACGAAAGGACCAAGTCAAAGAAGGAGTCGCAAGAGTCGTAGACCCGCGATCCCACAGCTTGTACGTCCTCCACCGCCTTGAGCAGAACATCAATCTGATCGAGAGAAATGGCTGAAGGCGTCTGGTTGATGAAGACGGTTGCCTCGCCGAGCAGGGCTAGCAAAAAGTCCTCGCTGACAACCGCATCGCGGGACTCATCGTATAGTCCTCCTCGAATATTATCATCTGCACTGGAAATAACAGCCATCAAGGCCATCGCAGCCTGTTTCTTGAGTGCTTTCGCTTTTGTACTTGAAATCTCCTCCAGCTTCTGCTCATCACGAATCTCGTAAAAATTCCGCAGCGTGGCATAGCCGCTGAGCATCCGACCCAGCAGCTGTGCAGCCTCCAAATCTTGCTTTGCTTTAGCTTCCAGGGTTTTTGTTCTCTTGCAAAGCAAATTGTTAAGGTCTTCGTCTAGTTCGTGTTTAGGCGGGAACGCCGTCGATTGAATTAGTGAATATGCTATGAGAAGATTCAACACTTCTCGCACCCTGTCTGGTCGATGTGACAGGGCATAATACCAAATTGCCTCGCCGTATCTATGGGACTCCTTACACAATATTTCGGCAAACGTCTAAATCATCAAGTCAGCCACAGCACCTCTCACGTTGAGCAAATTAGTAAACCAACCTCTGCCGTCTCTTCGGCATAAGTTATCATGCCAAGATCATTGAGTATCCTCCACATTCGGTCGACAGTTCTGCCGGAATTCTCGTCCATTGTCACAAACAAATCTCGGAGAAGCTCCCCAATAGTTTCCTCCGACTTCTGCGGCAGGTCCATTCTGCCGAGGACTTGGATGGCCATTTCCCATCCATCTTTTTGGGCAGAAAGACGCTCGATGCCGGCCAATTCCCGCGCGTACAGGACAAGGGTGGTGTCTTTGATCCCTTCCAGCTCGTCAGTTGAGGGTGGCACTACACCGAGCAAAGCAAGGTCATCCATATCCAAGGTATCTATTGGCAACGGCTTGGCAGTCTCTGTAGGAGGTAGCCACCCGCCCAGTGAGGCGATCTCAGCTACAGAGGAAGCTACGGGAAGCGACCAGATCCTTAGAAGCCCGATGACGCCATTCACGTTGCCTTCAAAACAGGAGGCAATGGCAACTTCAACGGCATTCACAGGATTGGGGCTCATGTCCGATTGAAGAACAAGGCGGAATGCGGAACCCAGTCGCTCGAAGTAGTCCGATGAGGCCCCAAACTGCGATCCAGGAGACGCTCGGAAGCCTCGAGCATGCGACAGCCTCAGGTTTCTATGACGCTGGCTTCCATCATCCCACCAGCCAAACAGCCCAATTGTTGCCTCACACCAGTCCTGTGCTGTCTCCAAAATAGACTCGTGGTTTCCAAGAACAATGCCGTACACGATTTGTAGGTTTTCATACACATCCCAGGGTATTTGACTGGATGCCTTTCGGGCCATCGTTGACATGGACTGCGGCTCAGGGGAGTAGCTGCCATCCAGGGACCCTGAAAGTTGCGTATCGCGACCCTCAGCAAATAGTTTCAGCCTATCTAGAGACCCACGAGCCTGGACACGAAACAGAGTCCAGCTGCTGTTCCAAATGTCCCAGTCGCCTGCCATAGCTGGACACTTCTCCAGCATGTCACAGGTCGCTTCCGCGAATCGGCGAACATTTTCCAGTGCTTTGCCGGTGTATGCACTATCGCCTCTTGGTCCCCTTCGAACGTTCTCCCACCCGGCATTCTTGAGAAGTTGAGAGGCCCCGCGTACATCGCCTCTGAGTAAAGCGTTTCGAAGCGTTTGCCAGTATAAGCTATGGCAAGCTGGGCCAGGCTTGTAGCGGCTGATTTCGCGAATTTGGTCCGGGTACAGATTGTGGCTTGCTTGCTGCCAATCGAAAAGAACTTCGGGCAGAGGCGGTGTCTTCTCATCTTCCAAGTCGTTATCAAACCTGGTGTGGTGCAAGCGCAGAATTAAGTGAGCGACGTACGCTGCCTTCTCAAAAGGGTCAGCATCAGGTCCAGGTCCAATGGTCGCAAAATCTTCCCCTTCAGGCTGAGGCAAGTCTTCGACATAGTCATTCCAAAGCTTGACCAGTCGAAACGTAATATTGGCTAAAGAGTTGTCCATTTTCTCCGCATCATCCACCGCTCCGATGCCCTCGTCGTAAAGTCGGCATACCAAGTCCTCTGTCTTGAGAATCAAGTCAGGGGTCTCTGTAATTCTCGCGGCATCGTGCTGGGTATACATATCTCGAGCAATTGTCGCAAACTGAAATTCTCGTCGCATAGAGCCCCCGAGCCGTGCCGACGACCGTCGGAAAATATCTTCAGCTTCCTTTCGAACTCTGTCTGTTGCGGCTGGAGTATTCAGCATCATCAAGTCGTCACCTTCTCCGATGATGGGTTGTCCGTAGGGCCGGTCATCGTGTCGCATGTTAAGAAACAAGTCCCCTTCATCAGAGCCCTCCTCAGACCGTCCATCTTTCTCTTCCTCCCGCTCCTCGCCTTCAGCATTCTTATCGCCCTCCATGTCTTCGTCAATGTATCGTTCGATCTCGGCTTCGATATCGTCGCCCTCTGCGTCTTCATCGTCCTCGTCGCCGTGTCGGTGGGGCAAGGTGCTCGATTTGCGGAACAGGCTGTGCGGTGGGAGTGCGTCCTCCCCTTCAGCATCTTCGACTTCGGCTTCTTCATCGCTAATGCTAAACTGTCTGCTGAGGCTGGAAGGCTGGCGGTGACCACCTCTAACGGAGTGGCCGAGTGGTGCATTAGAGGGCTCAGGGCGACCAAACAAATTTCTTCCCGGGGCATTCTGTGACTGAGTACCAGCGAAGCCGAAAGGTTTACTGTTCGTGCTTACTCCTCGCAAGATGGAGCTCCCAAGGTAGGATTCTGAAGGAGCTCCCGCCGGGGTGAAGGAGGCTTGTGATGATGGGGGCGGTCCAGCTGGTGTCGTCGAGGGCATATCGCCCAAAAACGAGAAGGTCATTCCATTCTTGGATTTCTTGTCCGGGGTGGACGGCGCAGGGCTCGAGTCGGGAACTACGAATCGGTGCGCCATTGCGACGACCTTGCCGTCGAATCCACGTTTCCAGATTCAAGTCAAATGCGATAGTGGACGGGATAAGCCCCACGCCCTCAGTATTCAAAGACAGGCGAGCATGTATCGTGGTGTCTTTCTAGTGAAGTAGTTGCCGCTTGGCGCAAAGTGTTGATGAAGAGCTGCCCAAACGCGTTCTGGTATATTTTTTGGAGCTCCAATGCCTCTCAATCGAGACCGGAATTTAGCCGGGCGGATCCATGTATTTGCAGGGATTTTAAGCCAATTAAAAACTAGAAAATGAAAGGTACTTTATGTCACACTTAAATTGTACTATAATAAAAGTCCTAATAAGCCTTTAAGTTACAAAGAGCTACATCACACACATCGCAGCCCTAACGCGATTAACGGGCTACTACCAAAGTCGCCCGAAGTTGTCAGAATGGGTCACTTATTACGGGTACAAATTACGTACGCACAATCAGATAAGGGCAAACCCTCAACTACGAGTGGATAACTCTAATAATAAGCGCACTTATAAAAAGGGTATATATAATTCTCTCTTTTATAATTAAATATAAACTTATATATATATATTATTATTATAATTAATACTCTTTAAAGTATAATAATTATAAGAAAGTTAGCCGGTTCTCCAATTAACTCATGGATTGCTTGCTCGTAACTAGAGTATCCCTAATATAACATCGTGTTTTAAGATTACTATAATATTTAATGTAACTTAGTGTTTCGTGCCTTGTATATTAATAAGAAGCTGCGCGATCTTTATATTAATTACTTCGTAGCTATACTTTACCGTAATTCCTTCCATAGTTATGAGTTAGTAAGGCTTATCTTTAGGTGTCTAAGGTAATTGTAATTTATTAACGAGATTTAACGAGATAAAATTTCCTTATGCTCCGCTATTAATTATTGCCTAGATCTTTCTTCCTATTATAGTTATATTAACTATAAGGTGTGTAGTACTATTAATATTTGTAATACATAAAGACCTATTAGATCTTCGTTAAGAAATTAATCTTAATTGTAATAATAGCTATCGTTTCTTGAATTATTATTCCTCTCCTCTTATTATTATTTAGCGCGTATCTTTAAGCGCTATTATTAGCGATTATCTTCCGGCGTCTTATTAGAGCTTTCTTGGTAATTACTTGATTTACTATTTGTGTTAATTGAACTTAGACTAAGTGAGTTACTCGTAGTCACATAGTTTTCTTCCTTGGATTATAAGGGCGTAATCCAAATAGTATATGCGTTATTCTTAGCATAGTATAACTTTCCGTTTAATATCTTTAAATCGGTTCGTTATAATTTCGGTTGTATTATGAGAGTTATTCTCCTTCCCTTTTATTCTCGTGGAAACTATCCGCTACCTTGCTTACTACTAAGGTGCGTGTAGTAATTGTTATTGTAATAGAAGGTTTAATTAAGGAGTCTGTGTTTAATTTCAGGTTTGTCTTCCATTTTTCTTAGTTAAATAATTCTCTTCTTCTTAAATTCGTTTTAATAAAGGTTTACTTTTTAGTAAGGGTGTCTAGTGTTCCTAAAAGTTATTAGGTATTAGTTGGGTTTTAAATTCCTAATCTTTATCTGAACTAATGGAACTAATATTATTTACTAACGTAGGGCTTCCTTTATTACTTGCTACACTAAGATTTCGCGTGGGTAAGTCTTCTTAGTTTATAGTATAAAGCTTCCTGCCTTTAGAAATTAGCTTTCATAACTTTTTTAGGGCTTTACATTTATTCGTAAAGTGTCTAATCTTACTATAATTATAATAAGTCTTCCCTTTTTCCTTATTCACGGCGTTAAGTTCTATAGGTCCAGCGTAATCCGAATTTCCTGTGACTTTTTTCGTAACGTCGCTCGTATAAACGGTTATTTGCCTTAATAACTATTTTAATAAAGTCATTAAATAACTTAAGATAATCTTCTTAATAAATGTTATCCTTCACTTCTTCTTTAAGTCCTTAATAGAAGACTTCCATTTTAGGTTTAGTATTCTAGTTAAGTTTTACTGTAATGCGTTTAAACTCCCTAGCGTAATAAGCTGCAGATTCGGTCTGCTTAAGTTAAGTAAGCTATCGTGTAGCTTCTTTATGCTTATTAGGGTTTTTAAATGCAGCGAGAAGTTATTCTTTAAAGGTTTTATAATTAGAGAAGATATAAATAACTTCTACTCTAGCTTTAGCGCCGTGCTTAAGATGTGCGTGGAGGGTTAGCTCCTATTATTCCATTGCCTTTCCAGTTAAGAGGTTACTAATGTAAAGAATCTATGACTTAGGTGTCGTGTAGATTTTCTCATTAACTCGTAGGTAAGCTTAGGCTTATGTGAGAAAGTTCCTTATATCACCCTTATAACTATCGTATGATTTAGGCTTAGGGAATTTTGGCATGTTATTATTATTAATAGAGAATGTAGGTGTGAGATTTTAAACTACTACAAGTTCCTCTTCTCGTGCCTTAAGTTTCTCGTAGAGATTATTTTATTAGTCGAGAAGCTGTTAATTCTGCTTCTTAAGCTTAGTAATCTTATTATAAAGGTACTTTATTATCTCCCTAGGGTTAATAGTCTTTCCGCTTAAAGTAGATATCTTAGAAGTCGTTACTACTTAAAGTTTTAAGGTAACTTACTAAATAGGATTAATTAAAATGTAACGGTGGCTTAGGTTCTAAGGCATAGTAGGTTTATTTCTTAGGAAGTAAGTCAGGTTAAATGCTATAGAGTAGCTTTTTAAGTAGTATTATAATAAGGCCGTTAAGAGTATAACTCTTAATAGTAAGACTATTACTTAGATTAATTAATAGAGAACTAGACTATTTAACTATAGAAATACTTCCTCCTTAAGTATTCGTCTATCTCTCTATTATAGTCCTAGATCGATTAGCTTGACTATCGATCCCTTTAAACCTTGATCGACTGGCTCGAGGTTCGGTCGGTTTGATCCTCTCTGGGCAATGTGTTTAAACATT